CCCAGACGTACCCCTTTCCCCGCCGGCTTCGAATTGTGGACGGATTAACTGGCTTGGGCCCCGCCAGCTGGAACAACTTGCGTGGTTGTTCAGACGACCGGACCACCTGCGTCGTGATTGCAAGCGGCGTGAGTAAAGTTTTTTGCAACCAATAAGTTGTGTCTGCCTCTCCCTTCACCAGCCCGCCCTAACGTGTGACCAATTTCTAACGCAACTCGAGTCGGCCCTGGCCGTCCGAGACAGCTGCAACATTTCTCTATGGGAAAAAAATTCTGCTCTGGGTTTGGAGTATGTAAGTGGGAGTGCGTGGCTTGGGAGCATCCTTCGCTAGAAATGATGCTGTTGCCATACTATAGGAATGCCCTATGTCACTCAGAGGGATGGGACTTCAACTACATCTCTGTCTTTTGTACCTCTTGGTGGCTAGTTCAGGAAGTTCCCCACTTCGATGCTGCCTGCTGACACCTGGTTCTCACTGGACATTCGATAGGAAGTCACCTAACTTAGGGCCAGGGTCCAAGACCCTTCATGTCTATACCTCAGCATGCCATGCTCACTTTGGACACCAGGGCCCAACACCTTGGATCCTAAGTAAGCATGCATTGAGAGAGGAATGGGTGAGCTCTGTGCTGCTGTGAGGATTCTGCTTATTTTGTGTCTGAAAGACCAGCGCACATGGGTAAAGAATGCAAAGTCCCTCTATATGTGAAAATTACTGGCCAAGGAAATGGATAGCTTGGTACTTTGTACCAACATAAATACTGAGGAACAGTGGTGGATGCATATAAGACAGTGAAGTAGTGTACTTTATACAGCTGTTATTTCACTGCATAGGTTACCACGTTTGATAAAAGCTGCCTTTCGTGCCTCAGTTTCAGTGTTTGTAAAATGAGAATGACAGTACTTTCCTTCTGTAGAGCACTTTGAGAGATGCAGATGAAAAGGACTGTAGAAAAAAGAAGTACTATTCTGTGACTACAGTGTTTCCGTTAGGTTTTGCTAGTTTCACTTAGATAAGTTTGTTTTGTGTGAGGTAGCATATACCTGTATTTCCCACACTTTACTATAGGGAATACCTAGATCCAGTATTTGCAGTATTCTAAGGTATTAGCTAAACCTATTAGCAAGTTTTATAGATAATTGTTGTATCTCAGTGTCTGGGTATCCTTAAGTGCAACTGGATGTAAAGTGTAGATTTCTCTATGTCTGCCTCTATATAAGAGAGAAGCAAAATATGGCTTGCAGGCTGGATGCAGCCTGCCAACCACTTGGATCTGGCCTGAGGGGGTTGGAGGGGGCAAATATTTGGAGCTGGCCTGTGGCTGACCCTGTGGTGCTCCACATGGGGTTGAGCCTCGCCCAGGGCATCCCACACCACGATCCTGCCCACACTTGCCAGCCCCAGTCTGGGTCAGCTTGCACAGCAGGGCTGCTCCTGATGCAGATGCAGCTTCCTGGCTGCTTCTCAGCATCCCTTGGCTCCAGCAGTGGCTCCTCCTCCTATACCTGCCCCTGCAGCACTACTGTGGATGGGAAGAAGCTTCAGCTGGGTGGCTTGTGCCCCAGAACGTGGGGCAGTGGGTCCAGCTCCTGGCTGCCTTCCACCCACTTGGCCACTCATGCTAGGCGGGCAGAGTGGGTGGAAGGCAGCTGGGAGCTGGAGCTCCATATGCTGGGGCAGGAGCTGCCTGGCTGAACCTTCCACCCCTCCCAGAGTGGTGCAGTGGGGCAGGAAGAGGAGCTGCCACTGGAGGTGAGGAAAGCTGAGCAGCACCACCTGGGTGGCTGCAGCCACACCAGGAGCAGCCCTGCCAGTAAGCTTTGCATGCTGACTGGGGCCAGTCCAGCAGGTGCAGGCAGAAGCATGGCGCAGGCTGCCCTGGGAGGGGCTCGGCTCCATGTAGAGCACCACAGAGGCAGCCACAGACTGCACCATCCAGGCAAGCTCTGCTGTGTGTGCCCCTGCCCCGCCCCTCCCTCTGCTCACCCCTGGCTAGCTCTCTGGATTTAGCACCCAGTCAGCCTCCCCCCCACAATGTGGGCAAGACAGTTAGTTGATTTTACAAAGTTAGTTGATTTTACAAAGGTGAGAGTGTTTTCCTTCTCAGGTTAGTAATGCTTGAAACCATTTCCCCCCTTCCCCCAAGTCCTGCAGGCAACAAAAGAATAGGATAGAGCTTTAAGCAAAACAACTCTCCTCTCTCCTTCTCTTCCTCTGTCTTTCTCTGTCTCTCAGGATAAGAAAAGTCAATAGCAGCACTAGGGGCATGTAGTTTTAGGCCTCTGCCTGGATTTCCCCATTTGGGATTTCCTGGGTGCACAATGCTTCAGTGTGGTTCCATGGTTGGGGCTGCACTGGAGTGAGTTTGACACTCCAGTGCAGTTCCAGGGCTGGGACCATCAGTCTGCTGGTTGGCAGTCTAACCCCTGAGATGGCACCAGAGCCAACATGCCCTGCTTACTGAGAGGTGCCCTGGAGATTCCCCAGGGCAGGTATCTGCAAGTAGGGAATACATCACCCATTGTCCTGCAGGATCAATGGGTGGGACAACAGGCGACTTGTTTTGTCCAGTGAAGTGGATCGGCTGTTCTGGGACACATACTGGCACAGCTGATCCACTTCACTGGGCAACATCCATTTATGTCCTTAGTGACTGCACCCACTGAAACTCCATATGGGTTCCAGATCTACAGTAGCCCTTCCTTGTGCATCCTATGACAGAATGTGTCTAACTATTCCTTTGCAATTTGTTTGTCCTTCATACAAGTTAGTCATCCATCGGACTCTTGTATTTCTTCGTCTATATGTTACATGATCTTAGTTGATTCTTGGAGCTGGGGGTTTCACTAATGGGAGCTAAAGGGATTTTACTCCCCAAAGCAAACTGGAGAACTAGCCCTAGTCAAAGCATGTCCCTGTCACATGTTTTCTCACATTGAGAGCTTAATGGATGTTTAACCATTTGTTGATTTGCTGCAGCAGAGTGATCTGGTTTAATGCCTGCCTGGTAGGGAACCATTCCAGATGGAAGTTGCCTATCCAGTTACTAGAATAGTAACACTCAATTAATCTCTGATGGGAGTTTTTTCCTGGAGCCCCTGAAGTTACAGCAGGGTTGATTTTGGCCTCCTTTGCATGTTCTTTGCATATTGCTGCAAGCCAGGACTTCAGTCATCCAAAGAGGGCAGCTCTGCTGAAAACAAGCAGCTGTATGGCCATACTATATTTGTATTAGTTCAAAGTGACTGTGTGCGCGTCTTGCGGTGCCTTTGGAGCCTGGGAAGCAATTCACTGTAAATAGAATTTCACTGTGTCAGAGTTCATTAAAGAAGTGATCCACTGTGTCTGTGATTTTATGCAAATGGATTCACGTTAGTAAATCCATGCCCTGAGGTGCAGATAGCTTTAAAAAGACCATTTAATTTGATTCAGTTATGCTGGAAATCAGCCCTGGGAGAAATTCCTTACTGTTTATATTAAAAATAAAACTCTTTGAATTAAACATGGACAAGGGGAGGGGTTAAATCCTGACTTCCATTTTGTTATGCCACATGTCTCCGTTTTGCTAGAGTGCTCCCCGCTCGCTGTTAACTAACTTGGCATCATCCAAAGCCACACAGGTATTAAAAATTTCATGTCTTTCCTATTAAGACCAGAAGCCCATTCTAATTAGTCACCAGCAAGGTTCATCATATCATGGTAAATTGCCTTTTGACAGCGTTTAAAATACGTTTTGATACTGTGGTTTGATTTTAAATATACAGTTTATGTTTTTCTTTTCTCCCCAGACTCTTGAGCCTTGTTCAGGATTATCAGATGCATATTTATACTTTATCCAAATGTGGCATTTGTGGACCATGCATATGAACAATTCACTTGTCCATTTCTAAATGATTATTTGTGTATTCAAGCTTATTAATAGGATTCAAAGTAATCATTAGCACTGTGGCAAAAACCCATGCAGTTTAAATGTTTTCCTCCCAAAGCTCAGACTTTTATCTCAGCTTTTTGATTTTGAAAGGTCTATAGCTCTGTTGTTTGTCTGAATCCCTTCCTGTAAATGTAAATCAGTACCACCAAGTGTTGGATTAGGTATTGGAATAGGTAGGGTACATTTAGTGTCATTATGGGTAATGAAACACCATTGCAATCAAGCTTGCTTCTTAGAAATGAATGCAATTTCTAGTAATGTACAGTTATAAAGCTTGGGCCAAAGACTGAAATGAGGGTGATTTCTTTTTCCTTGGCTAGTCTCATTTAAGCTATTAAGCTTTTAATATTTCTGTGTTTATTTTGGTTTTCTTAGACATTTGGTAGGATTTTACATGTTTAGTGTTCTCTCTCTTTTCTCACTCATATGTACATAAACACTCTCTTTTTAAATTATTGGGGGGTCTGCTCATCATTTTGTGTTTGTACACCATAGTGCCTGTGGCATTATAGTCCATCCTAAACCTTATGAAATTTTCAGTTTCTGAAATGTTCTACATTCTTCATGTCCGGTCAGTCTCCTGAGCTAAGGAAGAATTTCATGGTAGGGATTATGGAGGTTCCCCCTGGAATAGTCCACATCTTGTCTCTTCCCTCTTCCTAGTCCTGCACTGAAAAGGCAGTAGAGTGTGTGTGGTTCAAAACAAAAGCACTGGGTTACACCTGGCTTCTTAATAGCATGGAGGCCAGGAATAGCTGTGTTTCCATTTGGTGTGGTTGGTGGGGGAGGCAAACCACCAGTAGCATATGATGCCTGCTAGAAAAGAGGCTCCTGCTCCTGATACATGTGGTAAAGCTATGGGATTAAGGAGTGCCATGGAAGCTGTCTAGTGAATTTAGTGAGAGTAGGAGGAAGGTAGGAGAAAGGGGAGCTGGGCCAAGTGACTTCCTGTCCTCACCATGGCAGATGAAAGTGAGAATGTTTTCTCTTGAGTAAAGGCTGCCCACAGTGATACCAAGGCTAAGGGATGCCAAATGTTTCAATCTTTTTTACTTTTCTCTCAAATAGGTCTGAAATAGATATACTGTCTGCTATCTCTGAGGGCATTCTGATTGGCTACTGCCCACAGCAAGATGCCCTGGACGAACTTCTAACTGGTTGGGAGCATCTTTATTATTACTGCACACTACGTGGAGTGCCAACACAATATATTCATAAGGTAGGTATCCATGTTTTATCTCTGCAAAACTGGATAGGGCAACATTGTGCCAGAGAGATCACAGAGCAGTTCTGTTTTCTTGTACCAGACAGAATTCCTGAAGCTGCTCTATTGTGACATGGAGTCCACAGTTATTTGGCTGGCTCAAGGATTGGCCTTGGTTAGAAACATCTTTTGTCATTCAGTTGGGCCCTGCACCCATTTGAGCTGGTCTGGGCCTTGGGATTGGGCTGTGCTTTAACAAGGTGCTGCCATGCAAACAGTGTCCTATGGGTATTTCAGTAGTCATGTAAAGTCCAGCATTCAGTCCTTTCCTTATCAACCTACCTTATTAGGTTTGATTAAGGATGGGCAGAGTGCTGCAAACACTAAGGAAAATATATTGCAGGATAATTGTTATTGCATTAAAGCTCTTGGCTATAATTACCTGTCATCTTCATAAAGTGACAGTTGCCTTCTTATGACCAGCTTTTAGCACATCTCTACTCTTCTCTAGCTTCCATTATCAGGGCACTTAATACAGACATGGATGGGAACAGTTTCTTGTATGTCTCATATGGCTGTATATTAATTCAGAGAACATTGTTAAATATTTATAAGGCTTGCATAAGTTATTGAATATTTTTTATCATAAATGTAATTTAAAACAAATCAAGCTTTTATTATTTAATTAGGCAGCAGGCTCTTTTAAGTGCTGTAAGCCTGGTTCTCAATCTTTGTTAAGGTGTCATGCATAAGGGCAGTACATCCCTATAGTGTACTTATCTACAGTTTTGTTGACAGTCAATGAACCAGAAAGGCATTGGCCAAGTTAGTTTGAAGTCTACTAGAAAGGAGGGCAGACTAGCTGGTTCAGAGAGGCATGAGCTTTCATAGGCAACAGCCTACTTCATCAGATGTTTTATAGATTCATAGACACTAGGGCTGGAAGGGACCTCAGAAGATCATCGAGTCCAGCCCCCTGCCCCAGGGGCAGGAAGTCAGCAGGGATCATAGGATCCCAGCAAGATAAACATCCAAATGTTTCTTGAAGGTCTTCAAAGTAGGTGCTTGAACCACCTCCAGCAGCAGTCTCTTCCAAACCTTGGGGGCTCAGACAGTAAAGAATGTCCAGCCTGAAACGGTCATGGAGGAATTTGTAACCGTTCGACCTTATCATCCCTTGGGGCGCTCTGGTGTCAGATGTTCCCCAGATCCTGGTGAGCACCCCTGATAAACTTATAGGTGGCCACCAGATCACCCCTGAGGCTACGCTTTTCTAGACTGAAGAGTCCCATGGCTCTCAGCCTGTCATCATAAGGTCTGTTTTCCTGACTTTTGATCATGTGCGTGGCTCTCCTCTGCACTCTCTCAAGCTTTTCCAAATCCTTTTTGAATTGTGGAGCCCAAAACTGATGCAGTACTCCAGCTGCAGCCTCACCAAGGCTGAGTACAAGGGGAGAATGACGTCCTGGGATTTGCTTGAGAAGCATCTATGGATACAAGCCAGCGTTTAGCTGCACCATCACATTGAAGGCTCATGTTCATATTGTGGTCAATCATGACCCCCAAGTCCCTTTCATATGTAGTGCTACCCAGCATAGCACTGCTGAGCCTATAAGGATGCTGCAGGTTTTGTTCCCAAGGTGGAGAACCTTGCATTTTCTGGTGTTAAACACCATCAGGTTCTCATCCGCCCATTTCCTAAGCCTGTCAAGGTCTGGCTAGATCACCCTCCTGTCCTCAGGTGTGAACGCTTTACCCCAGAGTTTGGTGTCATCGGCGAACTTGGCCAGTCTGCTTCTGACACGAATGTCCACATCATTAATGAAGATGTTAAATAGTATAGGTCCAAGGACAGAGCCTTGAGGGACCCCACTGGTCACCACGATGATTGACTTCTGTCAACCACCACTCTCTGGGTCTGACCACGGATTCAATTCCACAGCCAGCGGATTATGGTGAGGCTGAGGCCACAGTTAGTCAGTTTTGCTAAGAGGTGATCATGGGATACCATATTGAAGGATTTTTAAAGTCAAGATATATGACATCAATCTCTTCTCCCTTATCCAAGTGATAGGTCACCTGGTCGTCAATGGAAATAAGATTGGTCAAGCAAGACCTACCCACAACAAACCCATGCTGGCTATCCCTCAGGATGTTACCATCGGCCAGTCTTTTCAGAACGGTCTCTTTGTTAATCTTTTCTAACGCCTTCCCTGGGTTAGAGGTCTGGCTGATGGGCCTATATTTTGCCGGATCCACTTTCCTCCCTTTCTTGAAGATAGGCATCACATTGGACTTCTTCCAATCTTTGGGCAATTCACCAGAGTGCCAGGAGTTCTCGAAGATCCATACCAGCTCAGGCACATACACATTCAAATCAGCCTAGGCACATACATACCTATCACCAATTCAAGCACATACACTACACACCCCAAAAGTTAGACACAGATCACTAATTCGTATATCATGCACACAATGACATATATATACACACACACACTCACCAGTTCACACACATACAACCCACCTACACATACACACAGGCAAGTTCCTAACTTGGATGGTAGAGTGTGTAGGTGTGTGCTTGGGGTATCTGGGATACTTGGGGGAAGGTTCAGGTGAGAGAGTGAGTTAAAGTGTAGGGAGTGAATATTGCCAGAACCAGGATCAGAACCGGTGGACTACAAAGAAGTTGGCTGAGGAACTGAGGCTTGGGTTTACTTAAGGTAGACTGGGGCTGGAAACTGAGGCAGACAGCTGTGATATTGGTGGGGAGGA